TGTAGATTTGAATCATGTGTAAACAAAAAACGTATTTGAACCACGTGTAAACAAAAATATAACCTAATAAGTTACAATTAAGGCGTATTGAATGTTAAAATGCGTTTTAAACATAAAGTGCTTATCATTACCCATTTTACTCGTAGTAATTTAATAATTTCATAAATTTCATAATTTAAAAGTTTAGTTCAGAAGTATCGAATCGGTATCGATATCGACGATACTGCCTTGAAAAATATCGGTATCGTATCGAAAACAAAATAAGTGGTATCGCCCATCCCTGTCCCTGAGGTATTCGAGAGAGAAAAAAAACTGAGGTGGAGTTACTGACAGGTGTATTTTTCTGCCTGCAGAGTTTTTGTTCAGACGTCTAAACAACAGACTATGTGCTTCTCCTGAGGTGGGATCTTACTGTTCAAACATATTTAAGCATTTGAGTGACTGTATGTTTATGAATCTTAATTGTTTGAATCTATAATGCAAAATATATAAATGAAACTCTAACTCAGGGCAGGCATAGGCCTAGAGAAAAACACTTATGGGGTGCAATATACAACATCCGGATATGCTAAATATGATATACTGTACAGTAAATCTTTAACACATATTTTAATTTTGCTAATATATTGGAGAGACTGTTTGTTTGTTAGTTTTTTTTTTTTTTTACAGAAAAATGTAAGACTACAAAAAAAATCAATTTCAAACCAAAATTTCTATTCATTAAAGATCTATTCATCAAAAATGTATAGCACGGTTACGGTTTTCACGATTGATAATCATTAGAAATGTTTCTCGAGGTCCAAATCAGCTTATGATTTCTAAAGGATCATGTGACACTGAAGACTGGAGTAATGACTGCTGAAAATTTAGCTTTGCCATCACAGGAATAAATGACATTTTAAATATATATTAAAATAATAAAAAAAAAACAGTAATTTTAAATGATAATATTTCATATTGTTACTGTATTTTTGATCATGTCAATGCAGCTTTGGTGAGCATAAGATACTTATTTTCAAAACATTAAAGAATCTTGTGTGTGTGTTTTAAGCTGTGGTTTTGAATGTTTATTAAGATGTAGTGATTCTAATTATCCAAACAACATTGTAATTTCAACATATTTTAGCTATTGTAAAATAAAGTGAACACAATAAAACCACACTGGAATACATTCAGATAAAAGTTGACTATATAATGAAAGCAGACTTTAATGAAAAGTTAAAGACAAGGGTATTTTTTCATGAATTTCTATTGTAGATCATTTTTGTTTTAATGATTAAAACATGTTAAAAACAATATTTGTTGACCACAAGAACTGACTGATATTTTGAGCGTATGACTGTTTTTCCCATTACATTTTTCTTGATGAATTGTTTTGTTTTATTGTTTACATTTGAAAATCTGTTTCAACATGCCCGAACAATTAACTTGTTTTTTTTTCCTGGGCAATAACAGTGGAAATGTTCAATAGCTGTTTTCAGTCAAAATTTTTACGTTATGTCTCTATAGAAACTGACTAAAGCCCACCATGAGAAATAAAAAAAAGTGTGACAAGTGCACAGTTATAACAATAAATCGCTTGATTAATGAATGCTTTAAAAAAAACTCTAACGTGTATATTGTTGCTTATTCATCTGATAAAGTAGAAAGTAAATTCAGAAATGTCAAGATCTCATTCCTCAGGTAAACCGGCTGCGGCAGCCATCAAATCCGTTATTGACAGAAAATACAATTAGTTACACCCAGATGGCCTTCAACAGAACGGAGTGCATCCGTCATGCCCTCCACACAAAACCAACCACTTCAATTTATAACATGCTCTCTGCTTCTAGCAAACCGAGAATACTTTGCTTTCCATTTTCCACTAATGGATGTTACATTGTTTTATTTTTAACCTTGATCTATAAGATTAGAATCAAATAACAATATTAGATTAAATCAGAGTTGAAAAAAACTTGAACCATGAAATTGGTCTTTAATAAGACAAAACATCAACGACATGAAGTCAGTGTTATCTCAGATTTTATTCAGCAAAGCGTGTGCCTACAATATCTTACAAACGGAACAAAAGCAGAGGGATTGTCCTCATACAAACAGGTCAGCAGGTAGAACATTTACAATCATGCATCATGACGAGTCGAAGGGCTCGTGACGCCTCTCGCCAACACGAGGGAACCGGCGAGAGTGTGCACCACAAGTTCAGACAAGGAAAGGGCCTTCTACCACGTACAAATACACTTCACTCAAATGCTACGAGCCCAAAGGAAGGACGAGGGGGAAGATCAATATGATCTGAGCATCAGGCAGCGTCCGTGGAATTCGTTGTCATTTTCCATTGTCCTCCAGCAGCACTGAAAGGCCAACTTTAATGATCACAGAAATTATGCATTATGAAGCAGAATGCTCTCACTATCAGAAAGGCTCCTTCAATAGTTGAACTGATCTCATGATCCGAAAAAGAAAAAAAAAAGAAGAAAAAAAAAGTCCAAACGCATCAGTCAAATGTACAAATGCAAGATATTGCTATTCAAAGAGGTTTCAAAGCATGTAATCATTTAGCATTTTGTTTTTTGAAAATCTATCAAACTAGTTATTGTAGGATGGATTTGGCGAGTTACACAAACAAGTGTTCGCTATAATACATCAACAGAAAAAGCACAAGTGAATTCCACTCTTTAAACAAAATAAGTGGTATCGCCCATCCCTGTCCCTGAGGTATTCGAGAGAGAAAAAAAACTGAGGTGGAGTTACTGACAGGTGTATTTTTCTGCCTGCAGAGTTTTTGTTCAGACGTCTAAACAACAGACTATGTGCTTCTCCTGAGGTGGGATCTTACTGTTCAAACATATTTAAGCATTTGAGTGACTGTATGTTTATGAATCTTAATTGTTTGAATCTATAATGCAAAATATATAAATGAAACTCTAACTCAGGGCAGGCATAGGCCTAGAGAAAAACACTTATGGGGTGCAATATACAACATCCGGATATGCTAAATATGATATACTGTACAGTAAATCTTTAACACATATTTTAATTTTGCTAATATATTGGAGAGACTGTTTGTTTGTTAGTTTTTTTTTTTTTTTACAGAAAAATGTAAGACTACAAAAAAAATCAATTTCAAACCAAAATTTCTATTCATTAAAGATCTATTCATCAAAAATGTATAGCACGGTTACGGTTTTCACGATTGATAATCATTAGAAATGTTTCTCGAGGTCCAAATCAGCTTATGATTTCTAAAGGATCATGTGACACTGAAGACTGGAGTAATGACTGCTGAAAATTTAGCTTTGCCATCACAGGAATAAATGACATTTTAAATATATATTAAAATAATAAAAAAAAAACAGTAATTTTAAATGATAATATTTCATATTGTTACTGTATTTTTGATCATGTCAATGCAGCTTTGGTGAGCATAAGATACTTATTTTCAAAACATTAAAGAATCTTGTGTGTGTGTTTTAAGCTGTGGTTTTGAATGTTTATTAAGATGTAGTGATTCTAATTATCCAAACAACATTGTAATTTCAACATATTTTAGCTATTGTAAAATAAAGTGAACACAATAAAACCACACTGGAATACATTCAGATAAAAGTTGACTATATAATGAAAGCAGACTTTAATGAAAAGTTAAAGACAAGGGTATTTTTTCATGAATTTCTATTGTAGATCATTTTTGTTTTAATGATTAAAACATGTTAAAAACAATATTTGTTGACCACAAGAACTGACTGATATTTTGAGCGTATGACTGTTTTTCCCATTACATTTTTCTTGATGAATTGTTTTGTTTTATTGTTTACATTTGAAAATCTGTTTCAACATGCCCGAACAATTAACTTGTTTTTTTTTCCTGGGCAATAACAGTGGAAATGTTCAATAGCTGTTTTCAGTCAAAATTTTTACGTTATGTCTCTATAGAAACTGACTAAAGCCCACCATGAGAAATAAAAAAAAGTGTGACAAGTGCACAGTTATAACAATAAATCGCTTGATTAATGAATGCTTTAAAAAAAACTCTAACGTGTATATTGTTGCTTATTCATCTGATAAAGTAGAAAGTAAATTCAGAAATGTCAAGATCTCATTCCTCAGGTAAACCGGCTGCGGCAGCCATCAAATCCGTTATTGACAGAAAATACAATTAGTTACACCCAGATGGCCTTCAACAGAACGGAGTGCATCCGTCATGCCCTCCACACAAAACCAACCACTTCAATTTATAACATGCTCTCTGCTTCTAGCAAACCGAGAATACTTTGCTTTCCATTTTCCACTAATGGATGTTACATTGTTTTATTTTTAACCTTGATCTATAAGATTAGAATCAAATAACAATATTAGATTAAATCAGAGTTGAAAAAAACTTGAACCATGAAATTGGTCTTTAATAAGACAAAACATCAACGACATGAAGTCAGTGTTATCTCAGATTTTATTCAGCAAAGCGTGTGCCTACACTATCTTACAAACGGAACAAAAGCAGAGGGATTGTCCTCATACAAACAGGTCAGCAGGTAGAACATTTACAATCATGCATCATGACGAGTCGAAGGGCTCGTGACGCCTCTCGCCAACACGAGGGAACCGGCGAGAGTGTGCACCACAAGTTCAGACAAGGAAAGGGCCTTCTACCACGTACAAATACACTTCACTCAAATGCTACGAGCCCAAAGGAAGGACGAGGGGGAAGATCAATATGATCTGAGCATCAGGCAGCGTCCGTGGAATTCGTTGTCATTTTCCATTGTCCTCCAGCAGCACTGAAAGGCCAACTTTAATGATCACAGAAATTATGCATTATGAAGCAGAATGCTCTCACTATCAGAAAGGCTCCTTCAATAGTTGAACTGATCTCATGATCCGAAAAAGAAAAAAAAAAGAAGAAAAAAAAAGTCCAAACGCATCAGTCAAATGTACAAATGCAAGATATTGCTATTCAAAGAGGTTTCAAAGCATGTAATCATTTAGCATTTTGTTTTTTGAAAATCTATCAAACTAGTTATTGTAGGATGGATTTGGCGAGTTACACAAACAAGTGTTCGCTATAATACATCAACAGAAAAAGCACAAGTGAATTCCACTCTTTCCCAAACAACACTGAAGTTTTGACTCTGAATTGGATATGAAATGGTGAGGAAGTCCATGTGAGCTGTACATAAGGATTTCTTTCAATTCAAAATGAATACAGCAGGTTGAACCGAAGGAGGAACCGGGTCTTAAATATAAAAGACAGTCAGGTGAACATGGGTGACAGTGCAAAGGCACGTTAGTGGTCTGATGCTTGTTTATTATGGGCTTTAATATAGAGCGAAAGAAGGGGAGTGCTGATGTACTCCGATGAGGGCCGTAATTAAGCAAGTCATGATGGAAAAATGCGTTCGTCGATAAAGAGCGGTGAAACTTTGTAGGTGGAGAAGACAAAGATGCAATGCAAAACCAAATAGGAGCTTGAACTAGACAGAATGGAGGAGGAAAGCACTCTCTCGTAATATATGTCTCATGCGATATGATGCATGATATGCATTTCATTGGGTGGAAATGAAAACCTAATGACAATAAGAATAACAAAATAAGATTTGGAAGGCAAAAAGACAGGTCAGATATTGCGGAGGCATAGCTTACGCATCAAATGAGGCATGAAACGTAACAATAAAAAGGCAACACAATGGATGGTAGAGAAATGGATAAAGGTACAAATGGTTTTGTAAAAACAAAACTGGAAAACGAAGACAGGTAATGTGATTACAAAAAATATCTACAGTAATGATTTACATTTTTTAAACTACAATGTTAAATATACAAGAGAGCGATGCTGCATCATTGCTGTTAATTTGCTGATTTTACAAATACATTAATTTGAAGTGTTCAGAAATATGAAGCCAAAGCCATTAATCATTGCGTTAATTCAGATTTCAACAAACAAATCCATCGATCCAAGAGCAGGCATCTTATCTCGACTCACTAACATGGTGACATTCTGAGTAAGATGTTTTATGTTTTTATTTGCTTTTAAGAGGAATTTAATCGAGCGCTGCGTCAACTTCCAGTCGGGCATCTCAGTCAGACATGTTCACAATAAAACCGTGGGTTCCGATGATAAAAGAAGCATGTCATACAGAAGCCTGCGGTTATCTCTAGCAGAACTCGTCCAAAGGTCATGACCAGCAGGTTGATCACGGTACATGGCAGAGATCCACACATCTTCCTGTCCTCAAAGAGACACGAGAGGAATGGCAAGGCAAAGGTCACTTCCAGAGAAATCAAACAGGAAGTGTTTTGATCAAGAACACAAAGAGCGAGTGTGAAAAGGGATCGGATTTAGTGGAGGTGATATTGCCCATCTGAACAGCTCTAGTCAAACACTGTCCTCTGTTGATACTGGATATACTGAACATATACAGGATGGCACAGGGTGCAGGGGGAAGCTCAGGCAGACTGCTTCTGTACTGAATTTAAGAGTCCTAGAATTATTTACACAGTAGATACAGGCACTTAAAAGTCTTTGGTTGGAGTGACCCAACATTGCAGAGTAATGCATTCACAGAGCTTCTTTTTTTTTTTTGCACCCTTCTCCTGGGTTCAGTAGGCAACATGTAGTTTTCTCACTTCCCTTTGCGATATGCTTCGGTTCAGATGTCCACCTTCAAACCCCCGTTTATCCCGCAGACAAGGCCACCTGTGTGAAAAACAGGCACTTTTTGAATTCAGCTAGTGCACTTGTTTGTTGTGAGCTGGATGACGACATCAACATGTCAGCAAATGCACAACTTCTCTACCAGACTGAGTTTTGCTTTAACTAGCAGACTAATCACACAGATCATCTCATAGACCAAGTCGTACCTTTTCTGAACAGAAATCTGGGTTGTTCTGTCGAACTTTGCCTGGCCTGCCCTTGATGACTGCATAGCAGAACATTGTGATGACCATCACAAACAGGAAGTAGCTGGTGTGCATGAGGTGCAGGTTAATGAGAGAGCGATCGTCCTATCGGGAAAGAGAGTGCACTCTTGAATTGTAGTGAGGATATGACAACGTACACAACACAACTTGCCTCTGTGTTAAAATGTACAAAACAAATTATCAAAAAAGTGATAACATTAAGATTATAACATGAATAAAAAAAGTATACATTTACAAATCAATATAAAAATAGGGTAAATAGCAGGTGAAATAAAAAGGTTAAATCAAAACAAAACGATAAAATAAAAAAATAAAAAAAGAGATTTGGTCATGGTGTTTGTCTGTGCAGAACTCACCAACACTGCTAGTTTGTTGTGGGTGGTTCTCAGAAAATCACTATATTGTTGCTAAGATGTTCTGATGCCCTGTTCACTGGTATTAAAATGAGTTTTCACTGATCCGATCACAAGTGAATGATGTTAACGCTTTTCCCACCATTGACAGGATTTTTCATCATTTATGAGACAATGTTTGCCTCACCATTGATCGAATTTTCCCAGCTTTCTGTCTTTTCATTGTTACATGGTAGGAGGCGCTATTATGCATTTTCTGAAAGAGTACGGAATGTCTGGATCAAAACACGGTGAAGAAGCAGCAGAAACAAATTACATATGTAAGCAGATGCATACGTAAAATAACGTGATCTTCAGTCATTAAATGTTACCGAATTAAATGTCGACCCAGAAAGTGGTACAGGACTGTGCAAGCTTTGGGGGGTGTTGACGGAAGCGATCTACTCCATCTATGCTTGGATCATTGTTCTGAATCCCATCCGGACATAGTCTTTGACAAAAACACAATTTTCTCAGCTTTTTGTTCAAAATGTTGCTCTTTTAGCCCTTTTAGCATTTTTGCCTCCCTGAAGGGGTGTTTTCTTCTGCGTGACATACACAAAAATAATGACTCATAACTCCAAAACTGTAGCAAGGACAGTCAAAAGGTAGGTATCATTTGATAGAAAACTTTCTGTATTTTTAGGGAAAAACATTTGGACATTCTCCTGCTGAGAAATAGCTGATTAATGTGTAAGAAAAATTTGTGTGCTCGCGGGAAATTTTACATATCCATCTAATTTGACACTCAATATCTCAGGAAAGAAATAAGATAGGGGGAAAATACATTTTTGGTGATGTTCCCCAACATGTTAGCTGTATCTGATTCACATTTTTTGGTGATAGCATAAAGTATCCAAAAGTTACAGCATTTTGGAACAAAAGAAGCCCATGACACCCTGAAGGCATTTTAAAAACTGTTGTTTTCTGAGTGACATACACAAAAGTAAAGACTCATAACTCCAAAAACCTAGCATGGACAGTCAAAAGGTAGGTACCGATTGATAGAAATCGTTCTATATTTTTAGCAGGGAAAAATTCTTTACATTTGGACATTCTCTTGCTGAGAAATAGGTGATAAAATGTAAGAAAAACCAGTGTGCTCAAGGGAAATTTTTCAAATCTTTCTTATTTGACATTCAATATCTCAGGAAAGAAATAAGTTAGGAGAACAAAATCCCCAATATGTTTGTGAATTACATTTCGTGATGATATCATGAAGTAATCAAAAGTTACAGAATTTGGAACCAAGGTAGCTTTTTTCTTAGCCCTTGACAGTTTTGAAATGATTGTTTTCTGAGTGACATACACAGAAGTAATGCCTCGCTCAAGTTTAGTCAAAGCCCCAAACAATTACACTTGTTTTATTCTACTCTGTGAGGCCATTCAAATGACATATAACACATGACTATCTAAGCTGTATGATGTTTTTGACATGGCACAAAAAACATTTCATAAATTACGGAAAAAACTCAATTCTATTTATCAGCAAATTACTCAGCACTACTTAGGAGTTAATCAAAGTGGCCACATGCATTGTAAAGTTCAGACTCCAAGCATTCAAATTACACTTATTTTGTGTCGATCAAGGCAGTGGTTTTGAAAAATGTGATTATTTTTTTTTTCTTCACTAGGTGGTGCCCGCCAGCGGTACACTCTGGTTTAGAGGGACTAGTCAGCACAGGTTAAGGTTGGATCCATTCGAAAGCTGAATTTCTAATCTTTAAAATGGTACCTAGTTTTTTATATATA